AAGAACACTTGTGCAGTTCTCTTACTGGTTGCTTGTGAGAGAGCAATTCAAGTACCTGTATAAGAATATCGATGACTGGAAGAGTTGAAAGAAGTCCTCTGTCATTGACATTTCCGACGATCAGGTCAAGAAGTTTAGCAATGCTAGAAGCATGCATACTAAGAAATTCTCTTCCACCCAAAATAACATAGCTCTCAATGATACTGACAGCAACCTGTAATTACCAAGAGATAAATAATTGTATTATTTTCAACATGCATAATCCACACCTCAGATAATTAGGGATTGTAAGAATAAGTTGAATAATTTTTTTCTTTTGAAACAAAGAGCAAGTTGAATGATGATTTGCAGAAATTGCAACTGAAAATTACAGGAGAAGAAAAACTTTGATTTTTCACTAATTCAACAAGCCTAACCTGCAAGTGGTCAAAACTTCTTTCAATTATTTCCACAAGGCAAGAAAAGCATGCCAATAGTTGAGGCACCATTGTAGGAGCATGAGAAAGGGTAGCTTCCCATAACTGCATGATTAAAACAATGAGATAAAACATCATTTATTAAAAACAGACAAAGGTCAGAAACTAACAAACTCAGACAAGAATGCTAACCAGCATGCCGTCTTCTAGAAGATTAATTTCGTCTGGACTATTAACATCAATTCCCTTTTGTAGAACAGGTAATAGCATGGGGTAGCAACAAGGTGACTGATAGCCGAGTGCAATCACAAAATTCCGCAAAGCAATAAGAAGCTGAATCTGTAGAAGGCTTTCACCAGAAGATTCCTCCCACACCTTTTTCAAACAAGACGGAATCAATACATATATCATAAGACACCCCCCAAACAAGTGCAGTGTATGATATCTCCAAAATGTTGCACCACCAACACAAAGTAATAATTGAGCACTTTATTAATTTGATTACCAAACAAAAATTTTGAGTCATTTAGAAGATACAGAATCAACTTACTTAGAAGATGAAATTAATAATTTACACATCTCATTCAGCTGTATTTAACTTTCTATAAAAAGTAGTCTTTACCGATCATTACATTGATCTCTAAACCCTTTCTTTAATACAAATTTGAATTGTGATCATTTACACTGTTATTAGTCTTCTCTATGAATATTTTATCTAACATATCCAAACATCTATTGTCGTGAATCAAACTCTTTCTGTATCATCAGATGGATAGCCTAATCCCCAGATCATTGAATACCAGATAACTCCTATATGTGAATGACAATACAAGAAATAATTAGATACACCAATTGTAGGGTTCTTAAAAAGAAAAAGGAACTGAAAAAGTGGAGATGTGTGAATCCCTCTGCTGAGACATGTTTTCTTTTGCCCGCTAAAACTTATGCTGAGATTTGTTAGTCCAGCTTACTTCTTTTAGGTGTTGCAAATTACATGCATAGAACCAAATGTTGATCCTTAATAACTTTGCAAATTCAACGTCTTTTAGCTGCCAAGTTAAAGGATGTCAAAATTGCAATAAAAAAATGGGCAAAAGAAGAGGAGGGAAGAATAAATGAAGATATCAACAATTGTTAAAGGCATTGAAGAAATTGACAGACTAGAGAGGAATGGAACAATTGGGGAACCAGAACGTAATAGAAGAGAAACAATAAGGAAAAAGGTGGCATTTAAATTAAATATAGAGGCCATCTCTTGGAGACAAAAGGCAAGAGAAAAATGGTCAAAGGAGAGAGACCGGAACACTACGTATTTTCATTATTTGGCAAACTTTAGCAGGAAGAGAAATTACATTGAAGAATTTATAGACAATGATAGAGCCATCAGTGGTAATGTGGAAATGAGAGGGCATGCCAAAGAGCATTTCACAAACCTGTGCAACGAGGAGATAAAATGGAGACCGAGTTTGGATAATTTACAATTCAAATCCCTATAGGAGGGCAGCAGAAAACTGGTTGAACAAGAATTTACATAAGAGGAAATTCGTGCTGCATTAATGTCGTGTAATGGGGATAAAGTGTCGGGGCCTGATGGTTTCAATATGAGATTTCTACAGGAGTTTTGAGATATTTTAAAGTGATATGGTTGCTGTCTTTTGCAAGTTTTATGAATTCGGGTCTTTTGTCAAATCTTTGAATTCAACTTTTATTGTTCTAATGGCAAAAACTGAAGGGGCATCGAGTATGAAAGAATTTTTCCCTATTAATCTTGTGGGCTGTATGTATAAGTTGATCTCAAAAGTGCTAGCTAGACGATTGTCAAAAGTATTAGGGGACATGATTAGGGAGAGTCAAAACGTTTTTGTTAAAGGCAGACAGATTCTTGATGCTGTGATGGTGGCAAATGAGGTGGTAGATGAATTAGTAAGTAATAAAAATGTAAGGTGTTCTATGTAAACTAGATATGGAGAAAGCTTTCGACAATGTAAATTGGGATTTTGTGGACTATGTTAGGAAGACTGAGCTTCAGTGATAGATGGAGGAAACGGATAAAACATGTATTACAACCATATTGTTTGCTGTCATGGTTAACAGTGGAACTTCATCCTTCTTTACGCTTCAAAGAATTGAGACAAGGAGACCCACTTTCACCTTTTTATT